TAAAACTATTTCACGAGTGGGTGCTCACGCAACCCGAGTCCTGTTGGATATCTCCCATCCTTGTAGCGCTTGTAGTGCATCGAAAGTCGACCGAGTCGAGCAGTATTGGATACCCCATCCTTGGAACGAAGCCGATACTTGTAAGTTACTTAATTTATATATTATATTTTTTCCTGATCTTTTTAGCCTTGTCATATGAATTGTTATATAAGTGCACTCGTATAATTTTAATAAAAATTGTTAATAAAAATAAATAAAGTTTACCATGATTTTTTTAAAAATGTTTGTAATGTAAATATATAAATAAAGTTTCTATGAAATATTTTATTTATTCCTTTTAATACAGTTTTCATATTTGTTATTTAAATTATTACGAAGTGGTCACATAATAAATAATTTACTGATATAAATTTTATTTAATTGCGTTATAAATATTAAAGATAATTTTACAAAGAATCTTTCACCATAAATACACAGAAATAAAAAATTTATAATTTTATCTCTGTTTTTATTTAAGGAATTTGAATGACATTATTTTTAGTACACAAAGTCGTTTCGTTGGTTATTTTTTAAAAGTAAGTTATTTCTTTTTTTGGAAAAGCAAATTATAGTTAAAAGTCTTGGAATTTTTCTACTATAATAATAATAAAATTCTGCGACCCGCAAATTTCTTAAATATCACATAGGGTATGCGATAACTTAAAATCTCGTGATGCAATATGCAATAATATATCATTTTATTAAACTTCTTACATAAAAAAAAAATACTAATTAATTTCATGATCCTTTATGATAAGCCGCAACTTCTAATAAATTCGCATCGCAAATATGTGTTTGCTTGACTTATTTAAAAGGTGTTTTTACGTAATAAGTAGCAACTTTATTACTAAAAAAATTGATTCATAAAATTAATTAACATAATTAATTACTATAATAACAAAGACCCAGAATAACAAATACGGCTACATATTTTTCTGGACGACAGCTATGTAAGTCCGACTTTGTCAGTCATATCATGTGAAATTAATTGATCACCTAGCGTTAATTCGGAAAGACGATTTGACAATATCCGTTTTCTAGCGAAATTACGAAATTGCCCGCTATATTCAGCCCGTAGCCAATCAGAATCTTCACCGATCAAACTTAACAAAAATGAGAGTTTTTTGTTATAATTATAATTTGTTTCCTTCAATAAAAAATTTTAAATTATGCAAGTAGTTCACGAACTTTCAGATTTCCAGGACGGTAAAGAACGCATTTTTAGCTTTAAAAGGTTCGAGCATTCTCGAAAACGAAGGTAACTTTTATTTAAAGAGTTTTTTAACTTTACGAACTCTTACTTATTGCTTTTTATTACAGAAGAAGGTGATCAGCTAGTTTCTATACAGATTGAAGAACAACAAATACTCAAAAAGAATTTAGAAAATAAAAGAAAAAACATATTCATACAGGTTACGATGACGAAAAATTTAATTTTGGTGGAGGAGAAATATCTAAAAAGAATATCTTATCACATGATGAGGAAGTCGAAGGAAATAAGAGAACTGTATATAACTTTAATCGTTTATATAATTTCTTTAATTAATTTAATATCAATTAAAAACTTGATCTATAGTTTTTATAGGGTTTCATGTTGGGTAGTGACGGTACTGTTCAATTAAATAAATATGAGCGAAGGAACGAAGTAGCGGAGAAATAAAAGTCTAGGCCGATTTCTTTGTCTTACAATAGTTATATCATTTATATACTATTCAACAAATACTATATTATAATTAAGGCTTAATTCTTTTTTTATTTTATTTTAATTCCATAGAGATGATTAAATTAAAGATTAAGATTATTATACAGCCGAAGTCACTTCCAAGAAACCAAAAGTATGTCATTTACCATTTAATTTATTTTTTAAAAAGAGAAACCAAAAATTCATTAAACTTTTAACAGTCAATGATACTATAATATAAAATAAAAAATCACAACATCAGATGCTAATTTCCATACATGTATGGATTTTCCATACTGGTATTGAATTTTTATAAATTAATTTAATTAATTATATTTATTATTTATTGAAATCGGGACTTGTAAATCTTGTGATATATAAATATAGGAATTTTATAAAATTAAAAAAAATAAATTCTATAATCATTAATGATTAGTTTATTTTGATTTCATTTCGGTAATTTCATTTCGATACATTATAAAAAATTACTACAACTAAAAGTTTAATTATTTATTTCTTTACGCAGTCTAAGATTTTCTAATTCCAATTTTTCAATTTCCACTAAAGCTTTACGATTTGCTGTTTGTCTTTCAGTTAATTGCATTTTACGTTCCTCAATTTCTAATTGCAAAATATTGTGATTGCTTTCTTCAGATAAATTATTTTCTTTTTCATTAATTCTATTTCTTTTGACTTTTGAAATATTACCAGTAGATGCTTTTCATTTTATTCCTCTTTTTTCTGAATTTTCTTGATTGTTAATATTACTATTTAATGCATCTTTTAATAATAAAATATAAATAGTTAATTATAATGTAATAAATAACAATTAAAATAAATAAATTTACCAATTGTTTCTTTATTAAGTGATTCTTTTTTATTTTTTCGGATACCTATTAAAAGAATTAATTTAAAAATTTATATAATTAAACAAAAATTTTCAGTTATAATTTGTTGTTTTACCTTTTCGTGTCATGGCTATTGCTTTTCTTTTAATTTCACTATTATCTTTTCTAGTATAAGGAACTCCAAATTTGTCATGAGTTTCTGCAATTTTAAAAAGCCTTTCATCCAATCGTCTACCTCTAAAAAAAATATTAAAAAATTAATCTCAAAAAATTAAAAAAATAAAATCAATTAAAAATTATAAAATCTAACCGCATAATTGCAGTAATAGGTTTTAACTGCTTTCCTTCTTGGTTAGTTAGCTTGTACATGTGCAGCTTTAGCTATATTTGTATTATTTACATAATTTTCCATATTTCATTTTCTATATTTGAAATATGTTTGTTTAAAGATGCTAAAACATAAGGTTAGCGATAGTATTGAATCCAATCTATTAATAAATGTATAATATTAATTATAAAATTATTTATAAAATTAGAAATACGATAATGTTGATATAATAAAAAATATCCTTATTATGTTGATTATCATAAGTTTCTAACAGTTTAAGACTTACATAAACCTCTTCAGCACTAGATTTAAATGGAATTGATGATGCTACCAAAAAAACTTCATTATTAAATTTTTTTAGCCATTAGATTACTAAAAAAATAAAAATTTATATTTAATTATTAAAAAATCTTTATTAATATTAAATTTAATAATATAAAATATCCTAGGTATGATTTAAAAATATATATTACCCACTTACTAATTGTTCGCCCGTGATGTTTCATATTGATATATTACCGGATTCACTATCGGAGTTGAATTTTCCGTGAAA